TATCTAGTATGTGCTTAGTGCTTTCACTAGATTTAACAATTTTATTATATTTTATATAGTCTGACCCCTATACAGTCAGATAAAGTTCCTAGATTCTTTTTTTTTCTTTTATGTTAAGAAGTTGTTTCTAGTACGACAGGTCATATCTGAGTACACAAAAGAGTATCAGGTGGTGCTTCTTATTAGGAAATGAAGAATAACATGGGAGGTTCTTTTTTAGACTAGCTATCTAATTGCAACTTCACAACTTCATAAATAAAGCAAGTACGACTGTCAAAGAAAAAAAAAAAATTAAAATCATAAAATTAATTGAAGCTTAATTAATAATAAAATAATTACAATTAATTGCAATTTTCTTTCATTATATCATTATATTACTCAAGTTTGATGCATAAAGTTGTAGGTATGCAGATTTTGTTATCTTATATAAGATACATTTCTATTTACAATCAATTATTTAGTAGGCCTGACTTTAACTATTAAACATTTAGATTAATTAATTTTCTTTGTATTTATACTCTGAATTAAATAAAATAGTAAATGTTCATAATTTGAATTATTTATTTTATTGATTTGTTTTTTTTTTTTTTAATTTATTGTTTGACACATTTTAACTATATTATTTCTATTCTTACCTTCTCAATTCTAATCCTGCTAACCATGTTATTCGAATTCTAGCTTTACAATTAATGGCAGTTTTTTTACAGATTATGCGAAGCTTTTCAAAAGAAAGGTTTTCTTTTCTTTTACTTGATTCCTTAGGCTTCAAAAATCTACAAACAAACGTTTTTCGTTTATTCAACTTGTATCTATTAAATCTTGACCAAATATTATCAACAAGAATCTACTGTTTATTAAAGTCTTCAAATATTTTGTTTTCATTAAAAAAGCATTCTTGAATAGTAGACAAGACGTAATAGTGATCATGTAATTTTTTTTTTTTGGTCTTTTTTTTTTTTGTCTTTTTTTTTCTTTTTGTCTTTTTTTTTTTTTTTTATATGTTTTCCTGTTTACTATTTGATTGGTTATAGGATTTTTTTTTAATAACCAGAAGTTACTCGTTGTTTCAGAATTTGGCTAGAACTTGCAGTTTGCAGAATATTTATTTCATTTGAACTTGCTTTTTTGCTATTTGCAAGATGTTTGTTTCGTTCATTGCCTTAGTGAGCTTTTTTTTTTATAACTACTAGCTTGCCACAGGCTTTCTTATCATAAGTAATGTTCTCACAGAAAACTTTAAACTATATAGTAATTGCAAACAGTTCAAATATATAAATTTTTTTTTAAAATTTATATCAATTAATTGATTGTAGATGTATTAAGTGGTAGCATGAGTGCGTTGATTGGCTGCAGTTGATGAGATGATCAATTGACCTGTATGACCCCCTGGACCGTCATTTTAATAGTTACCCCGCTTTAGCGGACCCCGATTTCTGGTCAAATTATGCTTGGCTAAAAATTGGCATCGCATAAAACTGAGGTCCCTATTTCATATGGAACGTTAACTATAAGCAGCCAATGAAATTTCAAGGATCGACAACCAATCATGACAAATAACTTCTCACTAAAAATAAAAAAAAAATTATCAAAAGCTAATACGTATTATGGATATTGACGAGCCTATAAAGGAACAAGGGCCTACCTTTTCCCTTGATAGTATCCTTTATTATATATCGTCATTTAATTTTCTTATATCGATTCATATGTGAACACCCTTAACATATTTACAATCAGTTTTGGCTCTTACTAATGAAGCTCGAAATACTTATGGTCTTCGACATCAAGATTATACGCGTTATAGGTATAATAAATTATTGTTTTTCAAAGATTTAAACTTCTTAATATATATTTTTATTTAAAATTAGACAGTATTGCGCGAAACGGATACATCGTCTTCGTGAATCTGTGAATTTCGTTCACTGCAAAGGTAGTAAATTCAATCAGGCAAGGGAAGTAACTGAAGCAGATCTTAATGACGTGAGGTAAATATTATTATATGAGAGACTAAATTTATAGTATATAAATTATTCTATTATATACTTATTAATATTATACCATTATAAAATACCTTAGATTCTTACATATTGTATTATTTGACGTTGAACGTGCCTGGAGTTACGCCATGGAATTGAAGAGAGAGTCTAGATCTAGTGGTGATACGCGTAAAAAACATCATTTAATTAAAAGATTAAAAAAGGCGGCAAAGTTAGGTGAAAAACTAGAAAATTTGTGCTCACGAGAAGCTGGTAAAGTCGATACTCGGACAATTTTGGAAGCTCAGGTTGGTTTTATTCGATGGTAATTTTTATTTAATATGACAGATCGTAAAATTTTTGAAATTGAATATTTATTTTTTTCAAGGCATATTCAGCTTTGATGTCTGGCTACTTATTATTTGAGAGGCAATCATGGCAAGCTGCCTTAGACAAATTTGCAGCTGCAAGGTATGCCTAACTCTTTTATTTTTCCTTACTTTAATTTCATAATTTATATATGCAATAATTCCAATTGCTTCTATATATGCTTACATTCTCATCGATTTATTTGTGTATAATCTAGGACAATATATGAAAAATTGTCTGCTGCAGGAACTGCTCATCAAGAGACACTTTGCCAATCAACTATTGATGATATTGATCCTAATATCCGTTATTGTGCCTACGTATTACGATTAGGTACTGATAGTGTTTCTGACGTAGATGATCTCGTAAAGATGACTATCGGAAAAAATAAAGGAGTCGGATTGGACTTATTAGAAGCAGAAGTAGAGGTATTTAACATTTAAATAACTTGATAATTTTTTGATAAATTTTTGATAAATTTTTTGATAAAAAATTGCATATTAATGTCTTGTTAGTCTGTTTTAGCTCAAACGCGTCAAGAAAAAGCTGCGTCACTTACATCCATTACTTGGAGAGATCGCACCGTTCCACTTAGAAATGCTGAATTAGCAATTTGTATTTTAAAAGCAAAAGATGCAACAACAAATTTGGAGAACGCTTCTGACGCGGATGTAGAAGAGGCGACAAAAATGGAAATGTTTGACTCTCTTCTAGAGGCTTATGGAGATGCAGAAAGGTTCGCTAAAAATGCCGTTAAAGAAGATATGGTAAAATATTATGTTTGTACTAATTTTTTCGTTATTCATATTAACATATCATTATTTTATCTTTGTAGGAAGCGACTGCAAAAGTTAAATCTTCTAAATCGGAACAAATTTCTGCTGATCTTAATTTCGTTTATAATTACGTAGCATATAATTATTTAAGTCGTAGAATTCAACGTAATCTTATGCTTGTTGATTTACTTCGGCATAAATTAAAACAAGAACATTCGGAAGGTGCTCGATTTGTAGGTGGAAAATATCAAGATATTGTCAAACTATATGATAACGTATTACAGGTAAATTGCCTAAATATTGGTATGTTTTTTATTGAGTTATTGATTTAACTTGGATATATGCATATACAGAGTTTGAACGAGATTAAAGATCTCCCTTCAGTACAGGATAATTTAACATTTTCTCAAGAAATTGATGCAAAAATTTGGTATTTTAAAGCTTGGAGGTTTGGATTAAATAATAATAATAATAATTTTTTTTTTTTTGCATATATAAAATAATTATTTTATTTTATCAGAACCTTATATGTTGCGTCCGCCTATGCGGTTTTAAACAAAGATTGTGAAGCAATATCTCTATTTGGACGCGCTCAAGAATATACTTCTCAGGCGAAAAGTGCTTTTTCCCAGGTAACATTGCCTGATAAAGATGACGTATTGGTGGTTACTTTAAAGGAAGTCGAAGAATTAGAAAACATTATAAGAGGATTCAGATGTAAGGCACGTGCAACATGGCATCTTAGACATTGTGGATCGGATGATTCTGACGTAACAAAGAAATTGGGTGAATTGACTATTGATGAAAAATCTAAATCTGATATCAAAGATGAAGAGGTAAGTAGTACTTAATTTTTTGAAACTGCCTTTATATTTTGATGCCAATTTTTAAGCACATTTTTAATCAACTTTTTTTCCAGATACCTTTGATCGAACGTCTTCACCAATATCCATCGAATTTAACAATGAATAATCCGCATTTAATTAATTTTCCACCGGAATTTACACCAATTCCTGCTAAGCCATTATTTTTTGACATAGCTTTCAATCATGTTGATTTTCCTTCATCTCTATCTCAGCGTGCCGGCAGAAAGCAAGATGGGTCAAGTCGTTTTGGTGGCTTTTTTGGTAGTTTATGGGGTGCTAAGAAATGAAATTTCACAGATATTACGTTTTAATGACTGGCTAACGAAATAACAATAAAAAAAAAGTATTCTTATTATATTTATTCAATTAGGAAATCCCTCGAATTTAATAAAAAATTTTCAAATTATTCAAAATTGTAACAAAATTTAATAATATGAAATATAAAAACATAAATTGTGGTGTCCTCAATGTTTTAGTATGAAATTTTTAGGTTATTTTACATTTAATTACCATATATATAAAAATTCATATAAGACCCGCCTCTAGTTGCCTTTGAAAATATTTAACAGTCTCTCCAATACCTTGCTTGACAGGCCATCTAGGTTTCCACCCAAGAATTTGTTCTGCCCTTTTAATATCCGGTCTTCGTTTTTTAGGATCATCCTTTGGAGCTGGTAAGGTTTTAATTTTACATGAACTATTAACCTCATTTATAATCAGCTCTGCAAATTCACCTATCGTATATTCATCAGGATTTCCCAAATTAATTGGTTCTTTATAATCAGTATTCATCAACAAAATTAACCCATCCACTAAATCATGTACATATTGAAATGATCTAGTCTGACAACCATCTCCGTAAATTGTAAGATCTTCACCTTTTAATGCTTGCATGATAAAATTACTTACTACACGACCATCATTTGCGTTCATACGAGGACCAAAAGTATTAAAAATACGAGCTACTCTAACATCAACATAATCTTGATTCATGTAAGCATAAGTTAAAGTTTCTGCAACTCTTTTTCCTTCATCATAACATGCTCTTGGGCCAATTGGGTTGACATTGCCCCAATATGTTTCTGCTTGAGGATGTTCTTCAGGGTCACCATAGACCTCTAATAAGATAAAATTTCATTAATAAAAAATATAAATAATGTCTGAAATTATATGAAGTGATATGCATGCCTGAAGTAGAAGTTAATAAAAAACGAGCCTTGACTCGTTTAGCAAGACCGAGCATATTAATTGTGCCCATCACACTAGTTTTAACTGTCTTAATCGGATTATATTGATAATGAGGGGGTGAAGCAGGACAAGCCAAATGATAAATCTGGTCAACTTCAATTAAAAAAGGATCAACTACATCATGACGAATAAGTTCAAAGTTTGGATGACCAATCCAATGACCAACATTATTTTTACGACCAGTGAAGAAATTATCAAGTACAATTACTTCATGACCCATTAACATTAGTCGATCTACTAAATGTGAACCAACAAAACCAGCACCTCCTGTAACTAATATCCTCTTTTTTTCTCTCGGTGGTAAAGATTTTACAGGTAAATAAGTTCTTGTTTGAAGATAAGATATAGTGTGTGTTTTAGGATCGAATATTCGATCGTGAGGTTGTAAATATATATATCTTAAAAGTTCAAGTGGAACTATAGATTTCGCAGAGGCATGACCAACAGCTATTATTGTATCCTCTGAAAAAATTTGTTCAGTATTTGTATCCCAAAACCATTGACCATCTCGAATTTTATCGGAACAGAGATCTTTAATTTCTTTTGATTTATCATTACTAATGTTCGTAAGGTTGTTGCTCTTACTTTCTGTCGAATCTGTGTCATTGACAATTGTACCCATTCTTTTTTATTATATAATGGTGATAACAGTATATTATGTAGAATTATAGATAATTTTTCCCGTTGCACCTACTGTACTACTGTACGTATCAATTTAGAATTCTTGAAAAAAATGCTAATCACTCCCGAAATTATGCGAAATTTTTTAAATTTTACAAAAACTTTTATTGGTTTAAAAAAAATCGCATAATTTACAATTTTTTTAACATAATCGAATTTTCAGAAAGCTACGTTCGACGTCTACTCCTAAAATTGGTAACCAAATATAATGCTAATTTAGATAAATTTGGTACAATCTCAAGTTTTTCTTGCTAGTAATTATTTAAATCAAATCCCTTTTCAAATAAATCCATTCAACTCACAATAAATTTCCTATTCTTTATTAATTCATTTGTAAAATTCAATATTTTTATAAGTAACATATTGTGGTATGGTTGTAATTGAATAAAGTGAGAATTAAAACATCTAATAGTATTAAAAATTGAAGTAGCAGTTATTATTAATATGTTTATTATATTTAACTAAAGCAAGTTTAAATATTTCTTTAAAAAAAGAATTATGAATTACAATATTACAATATTAATATTAAAATTTTTACATCTTATTTAACTTAAGTGCTACGTATTTATCATCTGGTTTCTTAAATAGATAAGAGGTTATAAAATCATGACCATGTTATTCTGATTGGTCAATTTAGTCCCGTGATCTGCATTACGTTCTATTTTTTGCATTTCACGGAATGTCGTAGAAATTACAGAATCTTGCTGTAACCATGAAATGTGTTACAAATAACGCAGAATTTCTCACAAATGCATGGTTTTCATAGTTCGTAGGCCGATAATTATAAATAAAAGAATAATGCTAAAATAAATCAAGTTTGATATTGTTAAAATAGAGTTGATACTAAAAAAGATAGGCATCGATACAAACCAATCAAGTTGGCCATTGTTATCAAAATGGAATTATGTTAAAGCTAAAGTTATTCAAGAAAAGATTGAGGTATTTATTTTTTTTATCGTTATAAAAAAGTACTATACTTGGAATATTTCTAAACATAGTATAGCTTTTATACTGACCTTTGTTATTAAAATAAAATTGTATTAAAGGTATTCAAAAAATTAATATATTAGATGATTTTTTTATTCTTACTACGTATATATAATTAGTATATAAGCTTATATATAATTTGTTTTTTTTTTGTTATTAAGGCTACTTCCTTGGCCAATTAGATTTTATTAGTTTGTTATTACAGAACTATCATATGAACAGTTTCTTAAAGTTTATAGTTACATGATAAGTATATAACAAGCCACACGTACAATTTTAGTTATTGTCTAATTTAAGTAGTCTGCCATACAGACGATCGACTATCTGTTGGTTCTATATTATGCTGCTATACCTGCAACCTGTCTGTGAGTTACTTATTTAAATATTCTGATCATTAACTCTTCCCCTTATCCCAAACTAACGTCATCATTATGACCAACTGCTTAAGCTAGCTGGTTCACTTGTGAATCCATTTTCTGCACAGCTTAGATCCTCTCAGGATATGTATATTCAATATATTATGAGCTGCAAAGCTCTAGTTAACCTCAAAAGTAATTCTTACCAGAGTGGTCATATGCCTATTTCACAGATTCACCTGAATTAGACCCTTGTCGATATTCATACGAACCTAGTTCCTGCTGTGGCTATCCACCAGATATAGTCCTCCAAGTTCTAGCTAGATGTTTCACAAGGTAGATCCTCCTAATTTAGTTAGCTGCCAAGCTACGTTAGTATTGCCACTAATGCAAGGCATCAGGCTGCATTACACAGCAAACTTACTCATGTCTATCGATCTCACATCCTTTGTACTTAGGTTTTTCACCAGATTAGGCATTAACTGGCTTGACCATCGAAATCTGTACTATTTCACCAAACTCAGGATTTCTACTATGCAGGTTCCTTGCTCATAGATCCTATCAAGATTTATTTATGCAACATAACTTGAATATTGCGTCACACTTCCAATGTCTAATTGACATTAGTATAACATAATTTATAGAGTTGTAACCTCCAGAAACAGGCAGAGTTTACTATAAATTGAGTACAAAGGTCTGGGTAATTATTCAAATTCGTTGACAGTAGGATTTGAATCCCAGACCTCTTGCATGACAGTCTGGCAACCTAACTACTATACTAAGATTGCCAGACATTTATATATAATTTGTTTTTTGAATAAAAAATAAATTTTTTTGATATCTATTCTTTGTATTTAATTACTTGTGTATCTGTTATTTGTATTGATAATATTACTTGTTATTGTTTTTATATTGCTAGTATTATTCATCTATACTTACTGCTATGAAAAAAAATAAAGATCCTTGTTCTTTAGAAAAGTGTAATAGAAATTCTACTATTTTTCAAAAAATTATTTCTATCATATATCAAAAAACACAAAAAAAATAAATATTAAAACATTACAATTATCTAAAAACTAGACAAGAAATATGCTATAGTTATTATTTGAATATAGTATAGTCTAATTATCATTCAAAAAAATGCTTTTGGTTAAAGTAAAATAAGCAAATATTAGTAATAAACTAGTCATATATCATGATATTCAAAAACTTTTTTCAAATAATAGTTTTATATTTGCTGATCAAGTTCAAATACTAATAAAAGTTTTTTATGAATATCAATAGGATAAATCTAGCTATATTGAACTTAGTTCTGTTTATTTTTAATTAATAATAAAAAATGCTAATTCTCATTTATGTAAGTTTTTTGATAAAATAGTTAAAGCTTTAATTTCAAATAAAAGATCTATATATAAAAAAATAGAAGTAAGAAAAACAATAGTTAGCTTTTGTTATATGATAGCTAATATGAGAAACATGTTTGTTAATAATTTTGAACTTGAAATTAGTTTGTATCTTTTAGTATTAGAAATATTATGCAAAGCTATTGATATATTGTATAGCTTGAGTATTTGTATATATAGTAAAATAATTAATAATTATAAAAAAAAACTTGTTTGAGAATATCCTTAAAATATTTATAAATTTTTTACAAACAATATTAAGTGTTGTCAACTAAAAAGGTTTATTTTTATATTTTTAAAAAAAATAAGATTTTATTAAATTCATATATATTTTGATATGATTAATATTTTTCAATTATAAATAAAAGTCAATTTGTATAATAAAAAATAGAGATAATATAAAAGAATATAAAGAAAAATTATATGAAGTCAAGTACATCATGAAATTATCTGATAGTTACTTATTATTTTTAACTAATCAAAATTGTGAAATTTAGTTAATTCAGATTAGTCTAAAAATTAAAACAAATAATTAAACTCAATTATCTTAAAATAAAATATATATAAAAATAGACTCTTTTAGTTAATAGCATTCTATATAATCTGTTTTTT